AATGTGACTTAGAATAAAACAAGTTAGAAAAGAGAGGATTATAAAGTTCTGACAATATCACCAAAACATTTTTTCTATTGATATGAATAATGCATACATATCAGTTGACTGGTTTAAACTATACATTAAGCCAATCCCCCAAGATTATCAAAACTCGGGGGAGGATATGACGAACAAAAAAGAAAGCGCAGGAAATAAAATACTTAAAGATAATAATAATAATAATAATAATAAACAGGTGAACAAATCCAAATAAGGCAGAAGGATTGCTTGGAAAAAAATCATGACTACTATTTCTAAAAATACCTTTTCTTATCTCCGCTGTTTTAAATGGAGATTATTGAGGTACAGGAAGAGAATTATTCTTTATACGAAATTCGTGGAACAGTAGTGCTTCGGTTTTCATATATTTTCCGATTTTAGAATACTGGCAATTTAATTTTTATATAACATCTATGTAATATATTTTCTGTTTATACGTTATTTTAGTAGATACAATTTATTTAAGTAAATGTACTGTTTTTAAATAAACATTCAGACCGGTAAATGTAGTTAATACAGTTTATTAAAAAACAAAAAACAAAACAGAGCATTTACTTAAATAAATTGTATCTATAAAGTATAAATAGAAAATATATTAAATAATTGTCTGACCTAATCCATTTCATAATATGTTGTCATTGTTTACGTTAAGGTACGTTTCATGAACAGATATGATCGTTCGGGAAAGATCGTCGAAGATTTGTTGTTTATAAACAGTAATTCGGACTTTGTTAACCAGACGCTTACTCTGTAGCTGAGTAGTATAGCACGTCAGATCGATTGACGGTTTCGTATAGGACAAAGGTTCCACATGTCGGAGAACGCATATTTTCTACGAAATTTCTCGAACATTCAGGTCGATAAATGTAATTAATACTGTTTAATTAAAAACGGAGCATTTACTTAAATAAATTGTATCTATTAAAATAACGTATAAACAGAAAATATATGAAATAACCGTCGGTCTTAATCCATTTCATAATATAACATCTATATAGAATTGGGCAACTTGGGAATGGAACCCAAGAATAAACACAATATCCCCTTATATTTCATAACAGCTTATACATATATCCTGAAAGTGGTTTTCATATAAATAACATATACCCTGAAAGTAGTTTTATATAAAATTTATGAAATTTTGTGTCCATACAGAGACACATAATGTCGCTAGTCATGTAATACTCACATGAATTTTTAACTGGTGAAATTTAGATTTCAAGTAAAAATAATGTTTTTTACTTTCTATACATGTACAAAAAATATGATCATTGCTTACATAAAATATATAAATGCAGGACTTTTTGACATTTGAAATAATATCTTTACTGGGCATATTGAGAACTTTAATCCATAAATATAGAATACCTTTTAAGGTACTTTATTTTTTCATATAAATTTATAAATACAATTAAAAAAATGAAACAGTTCTTGTCGGTTCTTTTTAAACAAACTATACCTTTTCAACTTCAAAATGATAATAATCAACTTCAAAATGGACTTATTTTCAAGTAAAAAAAGTAATCAACTCCAAAATGGATTAATCAACTTCAAATTGGATCAATCAACTACAAAATGGAACAATCAACTTCAAATTGGATCAATCAACTTCAAAATGGATCAATCAACTTCAAAATGGAACAATCAACTTCAAAATGGATTAATCAACTTCAAAATGGATTAATCAACTTCAAATTGAGAAAATGTCAAAAACCTAAAAACAATCAACTCCAAAATAAGAATAAACAACTTCAAATTGAGATATTTTTTGGGGTAAATTGAAAATTATTTTTTCAATTAATTTACCCCATGAGTAAGGAAATTGACTGTTCATCTTCATTATATAGATGAAGAAAAAACCAAAATACAAACAACTTAGAGGCCAAGAAAGCATTGGGTGAGCCTACAGTAAAAGTAGGAGGAGAAAGTCCCGTATGGGCAAAAATGATGAAAAATGAATTGGAGAAACCTCTACTCAATGAAGAAGAAGAATTAGCAACAGCTCAAAGAGGACTTAAAGAAAACTGTGGCTGGCGAAAAAAAAGGCCCAGATTTTAGCTGCACATGCCGCAGCAGGAAATTGGAAAGACCTGGCAAGAACAATTGGTGTGCCTCTGCCAACAGCGTACCGTTGGTTAGATCAGGGTGCTGATAAGAGTGACTCTGGGGAGGAGCAAAATATAAAATTACGCAAAGCATTTTTATGGCGAATTAATTGAAAACTCTCCTTTTATGGCCGAATAAATAAGTTGGTCGAAAAGTATGAGGTTTGTGTGACGAAAGAATGCAAGAAAGCACTTGGACTCCATGGCCTTTACTTTAAAAAGCGGTTCATTATGAACCAGAAGCTGCCAATAATAATGTCAATAAGGCGAAACGTAAGGATTACGCAGTAGCTTTATTAGAATTTCAGTTCCAAAGTGTGCCAATTCTTTATATGGATGAAACTAATTTTAATCTCCATATTTCAAGAAGAGAAGGTCGCTCTAAAAAAGACACGAGGTGCACTACAGTCGCGGTCGGATCCAGGGGAAATAACATCCATGTTATTGGATGTATTAGTAATAATGGATTAATTCATCATAAAATTAAAAGAGGTTCTTTCAAAAAAGAGGATGTGAAAGAATGGACCAGGGAGTGCCTTAGAAAGGCAAATGAAATTTATGAAAGGTGAGTTGTCTTAGTTATTGATAACGCTCCTTGCCATACTTCAATTGAAGAAGTTGTGGAGGAGGATGAATTTAGGCAACACCAAATTTTCAGACTTGCCCCCTATAGTCCGATGTTAAATCCCATTGAAAAGGTTTGGTCAGTCATTAAAGCTGACGTAAAAAGAAGTATTGCAGACTCAATTGTTGGGATTTTAAGAGGTGATGGCCAGGGATCTTTAACTACTAAAGAATTCCGCATCAGCAAGTTAGAAGCGATGATCTGAGGCAGTTAATAATATTTCCCCTGAGACTTGCACTAACTTCGTATCTGGAATACAGAGATTACTTCCCTCTGTAATTAACTTAGATGATGTAATCTTTTAAATAAATTTCTTAGGAACGTTTATATTTTTTATATCCCTTTTAAGTAAAAATAAAAGAATAAATATTAACTTTATTAGTATTATATTAATTCTCAATTTAAAGTTGATTAATCTAATTTGAAGTTGATTATTTCTCATTTTGAAGTTGTTTTCCATTTTGAAGTTGATTGATCCAATTTGAATAATCCATTTTGGAGTTGATTAATTTTTTTTTTACCGGAAAATAAGTCCATTTTGAATTTGATTATTATCATTTTGAAGTTGAAAAGGTATAGTTTGGATGAATACTTGCTACCTAAATATACCTTATTTCAATTCCATGGTAAGTATACCACAAATGAAGGTGTGGTCGTGGCGATCGCTAACAAAAGACTGGCGCCAACATAGGCTACGTAGCTTGGCTGGAGAACTCCCACCCATGGCAGATGAGGTCACTTACAACAGCTGTAAGGAAGCAGTATTTTCCCCAGTATTTTCTGAAAGTTTCTATTTGTAGCAAGTCATGTCAGCACCTGAAAAATTTTCGGGTTTTGGAGGTTTTCGGATTATGGAATTTCGAATAAAGGATATTCGACCTGTATTAGGCAAATCTTAATAAATAAAATGCGATAAAAATATTTTTTAAATCATCTGGAAACTATCATTTACTTATAATTACCTTAACACCTCATTAACATTAACAGTGACATTCCTAAGGACATATATCTACAAGTCTACCATTCGTCCATATTGCTACTACATATGGTCCGCTGCTCCTGTTATTTACCTTGATCTCCTTGATAAAACCAAAGAAGAATCAGCAATATTATTGGTCTTGACCTGGCGTCTCGGCTTCAGTCCCACCGCCGTAAAGTTGATTTCCTGTGCATTTTTAGACATAATTTCATGTTATTTGTTCGGATGAACTCTTCGCTGTGGTACCTAAACTTTATGAATTTAAATGCAGTACTAGATTGGCAGTTTAATTAGTGAGATCTAACTGTAAGTTTTATGTTCCATTCTTGCGTTTCTAACTTGTTGAACTCTTTCTAGAATTCACGCTTTCCAGCCGACTTTGATTTTCAAATATTTAAATGCAATGTTAATCGTTATCTACTGTCCTCCTGATTACACTTTTATTGTTCTCACTCCTTAGTAAGATTTCTGTTTCTATTCTTTCACACCCAGTAATGCAGGATATCACACACACTCACCACACAGCCCGGCTACTTATCGACCTAAAAAAATATAAAGAAAAACGGATTCTAGACGTCAGTCATCTCTACCGTTTCGCCAGAAAGTGGGATTAGGCTGGTCCACTCCACTCCACTCAAATTCATCAATGAATTAATCAGAACAACTATCTGCTACAAGAAAGAGGTTTCTTTCTTTCTCTTCTTTCTCTCCTCCCCCTCTCTCTGTACCAACGTATCGCGAACTACGAAGTCTGTCTCACAAGATGGATACAAGTTAATATTTGTATAAACACAAAGACGTAACCGAATAATGTTCATTCATTTTGAATGTAAGAACCAACATTCTGCGCTAATCTCCATGTTTTCTTTATACGTGCTCATGAATGTTAGTGCGATTCAGATAATGTAGTCACTAAAATAATCTCCCTCAAGGTAGACGTGACCCCAGAGCACATATGACATGTGAAATTCAAGATTTAGTTGCTCTGGGTTTTTTTACAAGAAGCCCAGCCTGACAACCCTGCATTGAAGACATTGAAGGATCAATTTCATACCAAGGAAATCAAAATACTCACTTGTTGACTGGAATACTTTCGTGGTTACCAACAGAAAAGAAGACTTTTTTCGTTGGAAGAAAATGGCGAAACATTTCTGTGATTTCGTGTAGAATGTGAAGATGATCATCTTTCTTTTGTTTCCAAATATCGTGAGGAGGGAGATCCCCTGTTAATATGACGATATCAAACTAGTCGACATGAAAAAAAGAAAAGAAAAGCAAGTGATAAATTACAAAGTTTTATCTATCTATCTATCTATCTATCTATCTATCGTCTGTTCACACCTATCTATCGATCTACCTATCCTTTCTTCTCTTTCTCATTCTGACTTTTTTTTTAATCTAATATGATACTTTCTAAATCTCTTCAGTCTGTTCGCATCTATCTATCTATCTTCAGTCTTTTTATATCTATGTTCATATCTATCTAAATATCTATTTCGGTTGTCTTCACATTTCTAGATCACTACGTGTTATTTTATATTTACGTTTGCATAATATATGGGGATGGATATATATATATATATATTATATATATATATATATATATATATATATATATATATATATATACCCCCTTTGCCTTTCATATTTAAAGTTAAAATTGACATTCATATTGAATTATTCATCGTGACATTAATAATATCAGGCGCGCTTGCATTCATATGTAAACACGCATATATATATATATATATATATATATATATATATATATATATATATGAAGAAATATAGTCTTAAGGTATGCTATATTTATGGGATAAAGTGCTCAATATTAGAGATAGAGCGTGTTAAATAGAAAAGTGAACATTGAAGTCAACACTCAGAGGCCACAGTCTGTTTCATGCTAGACGCAATTGTCAGGCCTGACGATTGTGTCTAGCATGAAAAAGACTGTCGCCTTTGAGTGTTGACTTCAATGCTCCCCTTTATATATATATATATATATATATATATATATATATATGCTGAAAGACAAAAGAGAAAATGTATACATATGTGTGTGAGTGCGGGTGTGTATTTGTGTATAGTTATGAATAGGTTGATGATGTGGGGGACAGAGATGAATTGTACGACTGGCCCAGGTAAGCGAGGTAACAAATTTGAATAATTACGCGATGCAGGGGAAGTAATTATTAAGTTTTGATTTTTTTCCTTATATTCTGGATTGTTATCTGAATATATATTCACTTTTCTGCCATACGTGATACGCGCCCAGGCGATCATGTATCTTTAGATACATGACTGACGAGGCAGATTTTTTTTCCGCAATAGGTTGCCGTTTCTTTCTGCGGTAGACCAGTTGCCATCCAAGGCTATAGAACCTGCTCTGCCCTGCATAACTGAGGGGAGAAGAAGAAGATTCATGCTTTTCCCAATGGTATTAGCACGTAAGTGAATGTAATGGATTCGAATGGAATTCGAACTCGGTTATCCGATCCCTCAATCCAAGCCGCTCTCTAAAAAAAAAGGTTTCGTTTTTCCTTATATTCGAGTAATATATTTAATATTTCTAAATATAAAAAAGTTTCATTGATTCACCGAAAAACAATAAATTTGCCTATGTTACACCAACTACCAACCCTGAGTGAGCAAGTGAAAACATGGGATAAAAATCTAAACATATTGGCAACAGAATCAGAATCCTTATTTTTTGTTGCTTTGTTTGGTTTAACGTTTCGTTTTTATGTCCGGCGGATAAAGTCTTTGAAGTCCGAGAGTATAAATAAATGAAAACTTTAGAGAACAATGACAACAAAACGGACGTGGAATATTTCCGCTCACAGGTCTATATAAACTGTGACAATTTGAATTGAAGTAATGAGCTCTGGAACGCCCGTTGATTGGTACAAACTGTCTCACGAGTAGTCCCAATACCGTCCGTTCGAGAAGTGAGTTTTTTCAATTTTTGATGCACACAGACACGAGCGAAAATGGAGACCCTGCGTAGGGTAGCCATTGGTTGGTCAGTGGAAAGCTGTTTGTGTGATCCATTTTATGTTAACCTTGTTAAGTAGACAAAAATGTTTAGATATGTTATCCATGTTCCCATAATTTGCTGGCAACATTAATCATCGATAATGTTTTCTCATATTTATTTAAAATTCACAGAATTCAACAATCTGGATATATTAATGGCTTCTATTCTAAGGTGTTAGCTTATCGGAAGCTTCCTCATCGTCGTAATATAGGTTCCATGTGACTTTCCTATAAATATTTTCATGGTAATTGTTTTGCTCAGAGGTCATCAAACTTTTTTCACAGAGGGCCTGATAACTGATGGAATGATGAGTGCGGACCGGATAATCCATTTTGTTAAATACAATACACTGAGTACACAAGAAATAAGGACAACAAACATATTTATTTGCCAAAATGTTATCAAAGATGGAGACAATAGCAATAAAATAGTTATATCATACCAAATGCACACATATCCGAATCTCACAAACTAAGCAGCACAAAAGGTGAGGGGTGATTTGTAAAATTGGCGTTAACCTTTTAAGATATAATTAATATTTATTTTGGTATTGCTGCATCCAACCAAGAGAAATGCTTTCAAATGCTTATCAGTCAACCTCATTACATGTGTTGACTTTACATACTTTAGATTTTATAATAAGTCCAGGCTAAATATATGACATAATTCACTGAAGTCAGTCTTTTTCATATATGGCAATCTTCAAACAGGTTTAAACACGGCAAAGCAAGGCAAAACATAATTGCTGCTGCTGGCTTGTAATCGCTTTTCTTAGAAACTTCATTGCACACAAAATACTTACACAAAACGCGCTCGGATATCAAAAGTTGTCTGGGTGTTTAGCTTTAATTGTTGTATCTGTGTGCATTTTAAAGTCCCACAAAATGTTAACAGCTTTTATGTCTTTAACCTGGTCTGTGTGGTGTTCATTCCAATTTCTTCCAGTATCCATTTCATAAAATTTGCAGATTTTCTGCTGCAGACATTGGCCCATTCTATTCTACCGAGTTTTATATCCGATAGATCCTTAATAGTGTCTCTGTCTGAAACAAGAATGTTAATTATTCTGGATATTCATCACATAATTTGCATTTGGGATCAACACTATTTTTCAGTATGTTTTCTTGAAAATTTCTAGTGAACAAAGACTGATCCTAGCGTTTACCGTTTAAGATAGAATTAATATTTGCTGTATCCAACCAAGAAAAATGCTTTCAAATATTCATCAGTCGTTACATGTGCTGACTTTACGTACTTCATTTTCGAAAATGTTTACTCAACGACATAAATTGTTCCTAGCACTGATGCCGCACTTGACGCAAATTTCTTCAACTTTGAAAACTCATTATTAGGTAAGCAGTGATAAAATTCAAGAAGTTTTCCTTCTCTGTGTTTCTCTTTTAACAAGTCACTTTCTTGAAAATCAATCTAAAAATTCTATCACTGTCAGATGCAAAAATCAGATTCGCCAAATTTTGTCATTTTTACTTATATTTACTTTTTTAATTTTTCTACATAGTAAGTTTAATTACAATCTATTGACAATTCCATTTAAACAATTATATTTTGGCTCATTTGTGGCCCATTGCGGTGGTGGACCGGATGAATTGACATCGGGGGCCGCATCCGGACCGCGGGCCGTACTTTGGTGACCCCCTGGTTTTGATGAATTTTCCTGTTTGGTAACTTAAGACTTAATGAATTTAAGCTTAATACTAGATTGGTGATAAGATCTCATCAATTTACAATTGAAATGGCGCTACACGTAACCGAAAGTTTTATGTTAACAGTTCCTTCTCTCGCACTTCTCGCTTGTGGAAATCTCTTCCAGCTTTTTTCTTTCCAGTCAACTATCATTAGCAAAAATTTAAATGCAGTGTCAATCGTTATCTTCTGTCTTCTTAATTCTTGTTCTTTTGTTGTTATCCATCCTTAATAATATTTTCTCATATTCTTTCAGAAGTACCCCCCACCCAATTGTGTTTTCTGACTTTTTATTGCTTTGCTTGAGGGTATATATATATATATATATATATATATATATATATATATATATATATAGACATCTGATAAATAAGTGCTGGGATCTGTGAAATGATGGGTCGTAATGGATGTTAATCTCCAATGATATATATATATATATATATATATATATATATATATATATATGTGTGTGTGTGTGTGTGTGTAGTAAATATAAAGTTTGTCACTTAATTGACTGATGTTACCTTTAGCATCTCGAGTTTCGTAGACGGACCCTTCAGCAATCATATCGTTCACTCTTTAGGGGATATCAGCAATTATTCATATATATATATATATATATATATATATGTCTCATGTAAAATCAAAATATAAGAAATCAGGTTATACGATATAATTTTTACTTCTATATCCATAAAATAAGTTGCCAAGAAGCGAAGGTAATTTATCAAGCATCTGTAGGTGACTTACCTGGTTTTGGATTTTACTCAGGTGTTTGAACAAACTGACCAATGTAGCTTTTGGCAAATCGCAGTCTTTTGGATGACCAAACCTTCCGGCCGCTTCCATGTTGAAACCTGAAAAAAAAACATGAGGTATTATGGAACAGCAAAAGCACAAAGGAAATGTACGGATCGAGTTTTAAAATAATGAAAAAATATGCCATAATTTGGCGCAATTACAATGTATCAGTGCTTCAATAAAACTATCTATCATGACGAAACAAATACATTTCTATCGTTTTCTCAAAATGAATTATCAGAAGTATTTTAATGAAAATGAGTTTGTTGTTTACTTTTTCGTCTGATAGCAGCCTCTTTTAATCATAATGTTGACTGAGGCAAAAGTGAAAGAAAGATAAAAAAGAATCTTCATCACGATGCGATAGACCGTCTCTAACCATATGAATTACAATGTTTTGTCTTTGCACAACAACAGACTGGGTACTAGAAAATTTCTTCGGGTTAGTCTCAACATTCTTCTGAGAACCGCATTTCTGTTGCATCAAACCTCTTAAATTTCAGGCAACAGAAATGCGATCTTGCAGAAGGATACTGAGAATACCATGGTCAAAGCATGTGAGCAACGAGGAGGTTTAAAAAAATGGAAAGTTAAACCAAGTATTAAGAAACAGAAAAGTTTTGTTAGAAACAAAGAAAAGGATGATGAACATCTAGGTGATATCAATCCTCCTATATGTCAGTGAATGCTGGCCATTTTCCTTACAGATGAAGAGAAGACGTGAGGCAAAATAAATGTGGTTCTACAGAAGGATGTTGAGAATACCATTGACGGAACATGTAAGCAACAAGGGAATTTTTGAGGAAAATGGAAACACAAAGGACATTCATACTTAAAATCAGAAAGAGACAATTGAAATTTATGG